TCAGGAATACCCCTGTCGCTCCCACCTTGTGCACAGTTTAGTTTGGGAGGTGAGCTGTCTTGGTGGTAATCAGTTTGCTTCACCCCCTAATTCTCAGACTAATGGGAGAGAGATTTTAGAATCCTTTTCACAACAGCAGAGCTCTTCTGGGATCCTGGCTCTGCGCTGAGTGCCAGCTCCATTGCACGGGGGGCCTCAACTCCCACTGCAGCCCCTAAGCTCAACTTCTGATTCCACTTCTCCAGCTGCCTGTTTTGCCTGTTTAACTTTACCTCTTGATCATTACTTTTTAGTGTTCTCTTTATTTCTGGCACCTGAAGATTTCGCTTTCTTGTTTTAGTGCATAGTTGTGTATTTCAAATGTTTTTGTTTATGGAGCCTTTGTTGGTGTAGTTACGATAGATGAGTTGATCCCACATTAGCTCCATCCGTCACTGTCCTAAGGAGCCTCATTAAGAGCATTTTAAATCTCCCAAAGCAGTAAAATGACAATCTCTTAATAAAAGTTTTGAAATGATTTGCTCTGATACTTGTTATACTATTCTTGTTTTTTTGTTTGCAATGGGCCAGCATTGTTCTAGGCATTGACATTTGGGAATGAATGGGCAGAGCACTGAGAAACTTAGGTTCTGGCCCTGGTTTTGTTGCTTGCTAACTGCCAGCTTGGGGAAATTACTTAAGTTTTATTTGTCTATTAATTAGCTGGAAGATTGACATACATAGTAATATTTGTCCTGCTTCACAGGATTATTGTAAAGATCCAATGAGATAATAGATTGGAAAATGCTTTAATTCTTAAAACACACAAAGATTTATGGTATTAATAGCAATCAATGTTAAGGACTGAAAACCATTAGCTCATTCATTAAGATTTTTTTTTAAATATTAAATTTTATGAAGGTCCATTTTTTGGTTTTGTTTTGTATGGTAAACAGAAAAAAAAAATCCTCTAACCTGGTAAAAGCTATAATTCTAAGAAAATACCTGATAAAGAAACTACTTGAAAACATTCAAATATTCTTGTAAAATTTAAGAGCACTATTTGTACAAATAGGCATTTATAACTTTCAGAGACTATGGAATTCATTGTGGAGAGACAAACCCTTAGCAGTTAAAAAAGAGAGGATTGAACCTGGAAATCATCATTGTATTTTGTTATTATGTGTTTTCTCAAACAATGGATACTAAAAGTTCAATTACATTTTGTAAGGAAACATGAACTTTTTTTAAATGCAGAAAACATGTCCTTATACTTGAAAACGTTGAGAACCACCAATCTAGCCTATAGTTGTAGTTCACTAACTGGGCTCCATCTTTCCATCTCTCACTAAAACACATTCCCTAAGACAGAAGGACCATGACAATTTTCACTAATGTCTGCCAGTCAATTGTGAGGTCTATTGCAGGGAATCTGTGATTTACTAATGGCCAAAGTACTAAGTTTGCAAATGATTTACTTAAAAAAAATCAGAGAATGATTCAAGATGGCAGATTGGTAATACACATTGACCACTTACTGCCCACTAAATCTCATAAAAATACGTGTAAATAGATACTGATAGTAAAATACAATTTAATAGTATTGGAAACCAGAGAGACCTAGTATCAGAAGAAATAGACTTGTATTAAGTTCTGAAAGATACTACCAGAGAACAAGTGTTTGGAGGAACAAAACTAAATGAGAGAAAAACTCAGGAGCACCTGGGAGACTCAGTCAGTTGAGCTTCTGACTCTTGGTTTCTGGTTGTGATCTCAGGGTGTTGTGGGATCAAGCCTACATGGGGCTCTGTGCTGTGTGTGGGGTCTTCTTGTGATTCTCTTGTTTTCCCTCCTCCCTGCCCCTCTTTCGCTCCCCCCTCTCATGTACACTCTTACTCTAAAGTAGATAGATGAAATCTTAAGGAAGGAAGGAAGGAAGGAAGAAAGGACCCAACACAAGTGTACAGATGACTGCTGTAGAGGGAAGTTGCATAGAACTACAGGGTTAGAGCTAATGGATATTAAGTAGTAGAAAGGGCTCTGGGGCATTTATCAGTTTGAAAAATTAGGGGACTGCATAAGGAACAGCAAATTAGTAACCTCTCCCTGTTCTGCATGCACTGAGTGCTGGGCAGCTGTGGATGAACTGACTCATACACTAGGGCTAGAAAAACAGGCCAGTGCCCAAGTAGCCACTGGCCTCTAGGAGGGTCAAAAATCCCAACACACAGATCATCTTTAGATCCTGTCTGACTCATATCCCAACCCTGTCCAAAAGTCAGGTACAACAGAGAGAAACAATTTACACTGATAAGGATCTGAAAATTACATAATCAGAGAAGAGTATACAACCAAGAATCACCAAATGTTTGAAGAATAAAGTATAATACCAAGAAATTGAAGCATCATCCTCAACAAACAAAAATCAATAGAATTAAGAGCGCAGAAAAAGATGTTAAGATGTTAAGCTTTATTACAATGTTCTAAGAGTGATAAGAGAAGCTATCATATCCATAATATAGGAAGAATCTTGTGTATTAAGGGAGCATTTACAGATCTCAGAAATTAAAAAATAAAATACTAATTAAAAACTGTTTTCCATAGATGGCTGGGAAACAAATTAGTTAGTAGAAAATTAGTGTCAAGGGATTCTTGCATTACTTAGTGGTAAAGTACCATGAAAAAGATAATGAAAGAAAAGTTAGGACACATAGAAGATAAATGCCAGCATTCTATCATGCAGCTGGCAGTTGTTCCAGAAGGAGGGAATGGAGAGATGGCGGGGATGGAAATAATAGAAAGGCTACAGAGTAAAAATTTCCAGAGTGCAAGAAAGACAAATACCTTGAAATTGAAAGTGTTCAAATTCTATTACCTCTAGTTTTAAGATTTAACCATTCCTTTTGTTATACTTCAGACTCTCTCAGTTTGGTTTTCTTTTTTGTGATCTGTAACTTTTGTTTGTGACCCTCCCTTAGCAGAGACTGTTACTTCCATGGATTGTGGAAATCTCTCTCCAGGGAAGGTTTTGCATTTGCATTTCACCAGCAGGACTAATTTTTATGTTAATTTTGTGTCCTATTAGATGTTCTGCATGAAAATTCATATTCCAAACTGGAATGTGGCACAAGCTTGAGGTTGTACCTTCTTACACAGACTTTAGCCATGGTCTACTGTAGGAAGGTCTAGCTGTAGGAAGAGGAAAATTACTTGCTGTCTGCCTGGTTGTACAAGTGAAGATCTTCTAGTCTGCCTTGTACCGAGATAGGCCAACTCTTTGAAGTTCTAGCTTTATGTGGGTTTTAATCTCAACTCTCATATGGAGGCCATAAGTTTCTATCTCTATTCCACTGTGGATTAAAATTCAAGCCCTTAGCCTGTAAGACTTCTCTCCACATTTGCTATCAAACTCCCCGCCCCCCTCTTTCTCACACATACACTGAAGCTTACATTCTTTGGGCTCCAATTCTCTACTATTATCTATACAATGGAAGACAATGCAGCGATTAAAATAATGAGATACTTTACATGTGTCAATAAAAGATCTTTAAGATGCATATTGATACACAAATAAGCTATTTTGCAACATGAGGGTTTCTCTGTTTTGTGAGCTTGGCTATATATTTTATTCAGCATTTCAAGGTGTGTGTAACGAAAGGGGTTCACTATTACCCTTAATCTGTTGTATTGTAAGAACTGAAAGTTCCCAATACACAAATATATAATAATGGCATTCATTCATTTGGCAATCTATTAAAATTTCTTTAGTGGAAAAGAAAGGGATAAAGATACACCTATTGTCTTACCAACACTACAGATAATAGTGCAACTGATATATTGCCATGGACATTTGCTGAGCGTATAAATACTCTTTTGGCAGCAGAAAGATATTCCACCTACTGCACTTGTGTGCAAGAGAACACAGCTCCTGACAGATACATTTTGGCACACCAAATATGCCAAATAGAAGAGCTGGTAGAATTAACCACACCAAATTCATCTAAAAAGCAAAGATTGAGTTAGTACTAGAAGTGATCTAAGTAAAATAGAAAACAACTTAGGAAATATTTTTATATTCTAGGTACCCATAGATCTTTGAAGTAAGAATGTGTGTGTGTGTGTGTGTGTGCGTGCATGCACGTGCACATTTGTGTAACTAGTATCAGAAGTGTTTTTAATTTTTCACACTCTTAATTGTATGCGGAAGGACTAAAAGTTTTAAAACGAGGAGGGAGGGGTGCCTGGGTGGCTCAGTGGGTTAAAGCCTCTGCCTTCGGCTCATGTATGATCTCAGGGTCCTGGAATCGAGCCCCGCATTGGGCTCTCTGCTCAGCAGGGAGCCTGCTTCCTCCTCTGTCTCTCTGCCTGCCTGTTTGCCTACTCGTGATCTCTCTCTGTCAAATAAATAAATAAAATCTTAAAAAATAAAATAAAATAAGGAGGAGGGCGCCTGGGTGGTCAGTGGGTTAAGCCTCTTCTTTTGGCTGGGGTCATGATCTCAGGGTCCTGGGATCAAGGCTGGCATAAGGCGCTCTGCTCAGTGGGGAGCCTGCTTCCCCCTCTCTCTGTGCCTACTTGTGATCCCTCTCTCTCTCTGTCAAATAAATAAATAAAATCTTTTTTAAAAAATTAGAAGAATTTAAGGTTACAGGAGAGTATTATCCTTCAGCTGAAACTTTAATTATAGTAATAGTGATAGTGTAATCACATTGGTTACTTACTGATCACTGTATATAATCTCATTATCACTAACCATGGGAAGTCACTATTATCCTGATTTTACAGATGAGGAAACTAAAGTCTAGAGAAGTTAAGTAACTTACCCAAGGTCACACAGCTCATAGGTGGTAGAGGCAAAATTCCAACCCTACTTTGATTCCACAGAATAATTATCCCATAAGGCCTCTCATAAAAGTTTTATATTTGTTAACTATGTTCATTTTTGTGCAAAACAAAATTGTTTTGTTTATAAATAATAAAACAGAGATATGTCTCATAATCCACTACTCATCAGAGACGACTCTTAAATTTTTGGTGCATTTTAATTGTCTTTTTTCATTTTCCCATTTATGTAAATTGAAATTTGAGGTATTGATAACAGAAAAAGCAACTGTGAGGGTTTCTATGATTCCGCAATTCCTCTCCATCCCAAGAATTAGATTTTTATCTGAAGAAGGTAATTTATCCTGACTTATCCTGACTTTTTATTGGTGGATTGAAATCATGCCTGGGGAGAAGAGCGTTTACTGCAGTTGCTTGGAAGATGTCTGCAACCTTCTCCCTTCTCTCAGGACTTCTGGGGCATGCCTTGGCTGCCTCTCTGACGTCTATTTCTGATAAGTGATTTTCAGTCTCTAACAGCTCTGGGGAATTTTGTCGGCAGAGACCTGGTGAGATCATTTTGCTTTCCGCTGAGTTTCCTTTCTCTGTTTTTTTGGACTGTTCTGATGAGCATGACCCTAGAGCATTCCGTAATACCTCTGTTCCCGTAGGAATTATTGGCCTACTCCCTGGTTTTATCTCTGTCTGCACAAAAGCTCCATGTCGCTGGAAAGGAAAACAAAGTTGACATTAACCAGGGCACACAAGTTGCTGGGAGATGCAGCTGTGAACTTATGTGCTAGCTCAAGTTCTGGTGAGGCAGGCAATTCTCTTCCTGCCTCCTCATTGGCCAACACCTAAGTCTAAACTGAAGGCAGCAGCAAGATAATTATCAGTGAGACTTTTACATCAATGGTAAAGTAGGGTGAGCCAGAAAATAAAAGGGAAAAACAGAAAGTCAAAGAGGCAGCATCTTGTTTCCCGTTCCCAACATTTCTATCAGTTGAATTGTATAAGAGTGCTCATATCGAATTTCATTTCCGGCTCTGGGGTTTGCTGTGGATACACTAGCAACTACAGTTCATAGACCTCAGCATTTGTGATTGCACCCCAAATGTCAGGTAGTTTCAACAAAAGACTTAAGGTAAAATATGAAAACAAACATTGGCAGTTGGGAAAAAAATCCGGCAACCGTTACATTAATGTCTGACTTTGTATTAAATCTCAGATGCATTCTCCTGCCATGCCCACATGAGCATTGCCAACGGTTTATCAAACTGCTCTGATATTACCTTAAGTGAATGATTGTAATAATTGAAACCACACTCCAAAGACTGTGATCCAAAATTATGACATCATTCCTTAATTTTAACTGTAACATGTTGCTGAGCTTTTTATCCCCCTAACAACCACGTTAGTTTGTTGAAATAGACTTTTAGAAAGACATTCATGACTTGGAAAAGCTTAATGTTCTACCATAAACCTGTTCCATCCTAAAGTATTAAATAATTGATTCGGAATACTCTCACCTTTCCCCGGATGGGCTCATTGGGAGTTTTCCTAGCATCATATTGATGTAAAAAAGAGATGTGTTCTATAAAATTCTTTTGAAGTTCTGCTGATGCATCAGGAGAGGCAAGTGGAACTGAGGAAAAAAAAGATTTTGTCAAGTCAGGACAAAAATTAGATTTGTATATGGAAATATAATCAATATTCATAATCACACTTTTTAAAAAATGCTAATAAAACTAAATTTTTTAAAGTATGGATAAATATAATGGATGCAACATTCTTTCTCCATGAAAAGAACCAAATCAAAACAACTGAATTAGCCCCATATGAGGCATTACTAGTACTTTCTAAAACTAATATTAGTGCAATAATGGCTTTAAAATTCTGTTAGAAATGTCTCTTGCAAAGAAACCAACCAAAATTGTAGGAAAGGTGTAAATACAATTCATTTGTCAATTCATTTTTTACTACACGAAAGGCTATGTGAACTTTATGCATATGTTGCTCCCCACTAGCACTAACAGAATGACCTGGAAGACTCCAGGGCTCTTGCAGTTGTAGTAGAACATGTGATTCTTTCCATTTCCCATTGACAGACGTTCTGAAAATTTGTAAGACTGTAAAACCCTTTAAAAATCACTTTTAAATAGTCTTTTAAGCTAGGTGATGGGTATATAGGGATTCATTCTATTGGTCTCCTCTGTTCCATATTTTTAATAACTTTTAAAACTCACTTTATTTTTACTTTTAGCATGCAAGGTTATATAAGGATCAGAACAATTCCCTGTTTAGTGAGGTAAAATTACATCAAGGAAAAAATTTTAAATTTCTCCCTTTTATAAAAAAGTCACATATAGGAAGTTATGTATACCTACCATATCTCTGGAATAACATTCAAGAGATTGATAAAGTGACTGCTGCAGGGGGAGAGAATTAGGTCACTGGAGGACAGAGGTGGGTTCACTTTCATTGTATATTCTTTTGTGCCATTTGAATTTTATACCATATGCATATGTTAACTATTAAAAAATGAAATTTAATTTTTAAAAAAATCTTGCCTTTAAAGTTAGGGAGAATATATAAGAAGGAGAAATATGTTAGTAAACTCATACTACTAAGCATTAACGAATTCAATTTAATATTCAGACATTGATATAAACTAATTTTACTAGCAGGAATGATGAGTCTTTAAGTATTTATATATTACATGATTTGAAATGGCAATCTTTTCCCTGCTGGCAGGGAAAAAAAATGTTAACTGATGATATTTTCTTGATTTCTAGTTGAGATCAGTTGCTCAAAACTCATTTTCTACATAATCATTACCTTTTTTTTTTTTTTTTTTTTTTAGGATTTGCTAGTGTACAAAAGAACAGCAGGTGCCAAGGATTTACTAAAAATGTATGGGAACTATGACATTGAGAAAAGTCTAGCCATACTTACACATTATTTTTTCTACCATTTGGGAAAAGACTACTGGGTTTTGGGTGACTGTCATGGTCATTCATGGGGAGATGTTTTTAAATCTCCTCTTGACACCCCATCCCCACATTGCCTTGGGAAGGTCATTGCTTGCCTCAGGGGGAAGAAACTGGCAGCAACTTGCTAGCCATCTGTTGTCAACTGAGTAAGTTTGGAACAGCACAGAAGTCCCTTTAGAGTAAGGAGCTGATGAAAACAGGTGCATGCTGCCCCTTTGGGTATTTGCTCTGCTATCATTCCTCCAGCAACCATCAGTGCTGGTGGACTGAAAACATCAAGAGATTGCCTTTTCTTGGGTTGCCTGTTTTTAGGAATTTAAAGTGGGAGGGAGGGATGGTGTTCTAAGTAGAGGATGACCTAGTACAGTGACAGCAAATGGAAATGGTCAAGGTTGGTTTTAGAGGATCTGACACTCTCTAGCCTGACCATCATTTTCTTTCCTTTAAATTCACTGGGAGGCACACAAGCCAGACCCTGGTCTTTACATTTTGCCTCTACAGGGCTGTTGATTCCCCTTGGGGAACATGACCTAATATAATCTAGACAGACACTGTAAAGAAAGACAACAAAATTAAAAACATATACTGTGTGAGACTGAATAATTAGAACCGATACTCAAAGAATTTAAAATAAGGACAAAAAAAACCCTCAAAGACACAGAAAGTATTAATATGAAGTAAGAAGACAGTCCTACAATTATAGTGAAACAGTATTTAAAAATTAAAGGCTTATGGAAAGAAATATTTTTCATTTGTAATATTAAATCTGGGTTATTAATATAAATCATAAGTAACTATAAATAACTCTATATACAAAGGCCCCCTTTGAACCTTAAAAATCTTATATCAAAACATATTACTCTCAAAAGATTACCTGGACTTCCTGCAGACTTGATGTAACAATAGGATCCAGAAGACAATGGAATAATATCTTCCAAGTATAAAAGGTAAATAAACAACTAAGAATTCTATACCCAACTCTATCTTTACCCATTAGAGTGAAGGCAATTTAAAGACATTTCAGACAAAAGTAAAGTGAAGCGTTAGCTTCTCCTAAACTCTCATGGGAAGAATAATTTAACAACATGTGATAGTCCATTACATTGGTGACTCTATTTTATTTGTCTTCCACTATTCACATCCCTGTACAGTCCCCTCCTTCTGAATGTGGGCTGGCTTTGAGATTAGCTTTAACCAATAAGATATAGCAGAAGTAATACTGCCAGTTCCAGGAATAAACCTTGAGAAAGTCTTTCAGCTTCTGTTTCTGAAATTTTGGGAGCCCTGAACTGCTGTAAGAAGTTCAGCTACCCTCATACGGAGAGACCACATGTAGAAAGAAGGGCCTGGCCATTGAAGCCTCCTTGCTGAGCCCAGTCCTCAGAAGACCTTCCTAGTGAATGCAGTCACCCAAGTGTCCGCCACTAAGACCAGCCAAAGAACTGCCCAGCTGAGCCCAGCCCAGATTACAAAATCATGAGCAAATAAAGTGATGGTTGTTTTTGAAGCAACGGAATTTTGGGGTGACTTGTTATGCAATTAAGAAACATACTTCGGAAACAAATCAATTAAAATGAATTATCTTTTAAATAGTGATCTAGGGACATGTGGGTGGCTCAGTCGGTTAAGTGTCTGCCTTCTGCTTGGATCATGATCCTGGGCTCCTGGGATCAAACCTTGTGTTGGGCTCCCTGCTCATGGGGAGCCTGCTTTTCCCTCCCTTCCCCATTAGTGCTCTTTCTCACTATCTCTTTCTCTCTCTCTCACTCCCTCTCTCTCTCAAATAAATAGAATCTAAATACATACATACATACATACATACATATACACATACATACATAGTGATCTAGAACCACCCAGAGTCTCAAAAATAATAACTTAAAAAAAAACCCATGTCTTTATGGGAATGAATAAAGGAAAAGAATACAAATCTGAGCTATTAGAGAATTTCTTTACCCCAACATATCTGTTAAAATTAGACAACACTACCACATTAATTTATGGGAATATATGAGATTTTTAAAGAAGCCCACAATAGTGAAGAACATTTAAGTAGGAAAACATCAAAGAAGATATTCAATTTCTTAGTGGTTATTCTACTTCAGAATTCAAGTTGAACCCAAAGTAATTACTTAAAAGAAGCCTTGTTTTATGAGGATTACAAAACATAAAGCAAAGTCCATGAAGAATGTTTGAAATCCACTCTCTGTTTCTTGGAAACTTGATCTAATTAAAATAGAAATTTTCTAAACAAGGATACGCCAAACAACTTGGTGTCTAGCCATCTATATTTTACCAACAAAGCCAGAATTTATTCAAACACACAACTTGATCTTTATTGGTGGGAACTCAGCAACTTTTACTTTGGGAAATTTTCTTAACTTTTTGTGTGTTAGTCTACTTAAAAAACATTCATCTGTAATATTTTTCTATCAGAAACTCCATTCTTCTAGGTAGTATTTATTTTGATCTTATATATAATTATTAGTAATATAAAAAATAATGGTACAGATTTTCAAAATACAGTGAAAAAACGTGAGCATAATTCTAGCAAGAAATCATTATGATGCTACACCTTGGTGCAAAAGAAACAACACTAAAGCCTACTTCAGAAAATTTTTTTCATGATAATAATCTGATATTGTAATTCAAGAAAACATTAAGATATCAAGTCATTGATAAAAAATGCAACTTTTATTTAAGTAGGACTTTCCTCACAAATTAGATCAGCCTTTCCAATTTATAAAGTTTTATGATATAAAACCCAGAGTGAACACTTATTCTTATAGCAACTCAGGATATGATGGAGCCCAGTCATTTGTTGAAGTGACCGTGGATGGCAGCCAGGAAATTGTGTGGTGGTACAAGAATAAAGGGCACTTTCATTATCAGCACAAAATGACATTGCTGAAATGCCAAAGACCAGGCGTAATTAAATGGGCTGATGGAACAGAATGACCAGGAGATGACTTTTAATTGATATGATGCATGTTTACATCCACAGTTTTGAAGTCTGTATGTATATGCACATATATATACATATACGTAAAATCTGGAATATACAAA